CGTGATGCGGTCAGGATTTGTGGGTCAGAATGAATCATCGATTGACGGATGTACTTTAGAATGTGTTGATCAGTCTATATAGTTTAACCTGATTGGTCGATTCCACTTATGCATGCCGCTCTGCCGCTGCAAAAGGTATAGGTGCAGTTGAAAATGCCATATTGATTGCTGAATGTTGATGGATCACCGAGCAACCGGGTGTCGATTTATTATACAAAAGAATCCTTCTTTTAGGGCTGTCCTTTGTTATTTTTTATTCAAATTACTCTTTTCTCAGTTTTCAGCAAATGAGAATAAAGGACTGACCTCCCAAGTAGCCTAAACGTTTACTCCACAGCACAACCGGTGCTGATTTAACTTTTGCGACAAGTTGACGTGTGACCGTAGGATACTTGGCTTACAAAAATTTCCATTTAATTTCCACTGTTTCCATCTTTTCAGAAATCTCTTTGTTAAACTGGTAAATTACTCGGGGAATATAAAACACTCAAATGTGATAATTATGAAGGATTGTGTAGGGACGAAATCTAAATCAGCGATTATGTTATGATAATTTCAGTTCCCTGATGACCACGCTTCAGTGAGCGTGCGATTGGATGTATTTCCAAATGTTCCCTGTAATCTAACAAGGGAAATAATTTTCACGTGATCACATGCAGTGAACACCCCAGCCTTATAAATTTCTGTAATCTATGGCAATTAGCAGCAGTGGGACATTTGCGATATAATCTCCCGGAAGACAAATGGGGCCATTAGTCAGCAATGAAACACATGATTACTTGGAAATAGCCCCGAAAACTAAGAACTCTATCGTCCTCGGTACATAGAAACATAACACTTTCTGAATATCACTTACCGTTCCCAGGACAAATTAGAGAGTCTTCCTCGAGGCTTTTGTGCAGCTCACTGATTGCAGTTAAGCCGGATAATCTGAAACAAATTTAACGAATTCTGTAATATTCTGATACTCCGCGGGTCAAGTGACGGAAAAGAAAAAAAGGTTGTTATCAGTTATCAATCAATACGTGTTTTAGAGATGCTGTGAAATTTGTACCGGAGAAAACCAATGAATTATTTATTGCCAATAATTAGAGACTTTGGAACAGAAAACGTATAGTAAAATTACTGCGGTACTGTGCTGTCTTCTAATTTTTTCAAAGTAATTTCGGAGAATCACTATTTCTATAATGACCTAATCTCAGGTTGAACAAACGATGTGAACACGTGACAAACCAGTTTACTTATTGCTTATTGTGGATATAAATTTAGGTTTGAAATTATTTTAAAAATCGGTATTATCAAGGATAAGATTTAATTTTCGGTTTAATATTACTTTCTATCTATGCACTCTCTCACATATATGTATAGAACTACAGTGAACCGGTATTGTGGCTTCACTTGCCAAAACATATAGACAGAAGGCATACCCAGTTTTGAGATCATCCCTAACGAAACGTTTAAAACACTGCCTGTCAGGACAGTCAGCATGCTAATATGTATACTCAGGTGAACTGCTATAGTGCATAACGTAATGTCCATTGTCTTCGTCGTGAATCCGAATGCGGATTCACAATGGTAATGTCTTTTGCTGTTCACTGTATACGAAAATATTCCATCAACTAGTGTTCCTTACACATAACTTCGCTTTCCGCACACAAAAGGGTGTACTAAGAGACCAAGCAATTGTGTGGCTTTGCACAAGCGCTTCACAAACGCTGGCGCTTCAAATTCGTCCCGGCAGCATACCATCCACAGAATCCGATGGTCCCTGTGGCAGACGTTCTTGGACATTTGAGTTACGAGCCACGGGGCCCCGAAATCCGGATGCATACTGGCGAGTGGTAAAGCTGGGAAGGCGAGTACGGCTGTTTGAGGCGTTAGCTTGGCCTGGCCACTATCTGCGCGTTACTCATGGTGAAGTGAATGTCCTGGTAAGTGCAGTATGTACTCGCGGTGCGATAATTGTGGTTATGCGTCTAATATGATTGGAAGGAGATAGAACACTCATAGATTATGTGACGAGGGATAAGAAGCAAAAATAATAAATACTGATGGTGTTGTCCCCAATTAGCTAATATGTTATATTGAATGTTAGCTGAGTGAAACAGATGAGTGAGCCTCAAATACCCAATTAGGCAATTGCTCGTTTAATGATCATTATCACCAAGTAGAGTGGTATGCATTGTTGCCATATAAGCCACTTGGTGACATACATTGAATGCGGAAGGGACATAAGCAGAAAGGTTCAGATAAAGAAGCAAGTGAGTTGAATAGCAAATGTGTCTCAGCTGACAGTCCTACCACTAAAATTCCAGGTTTCTTGATGCCTTCATGTAGCCCGTTAATAATCACCGGCTTTGATCTTGAGAATACTTGTCCTCTCTTTCATTAAAGAATGAACTGGCAAGTTAGTTTAAACACTATCATCTTCTGTTGATTTAAACAGTCGAAGATCAATCCTCACGTTACTGTATCCCAAGATCTCACATCACATTTTATATTGAGAAAGTTTTCGAAGAATTACAGTGAACATGTTTTGTGTCAAGACGAGGAAGAAATAGAGCTGTCTCCCAATATGTTCTCACTCGATTTGTACCCGCATTCTTTGTGCCTGATTTGCTATAATAGCCGCTTGCATGTTACCGTTTATGAGTCCTAAAGATAACCGAATTGGTTGCGGATTCATGAAAACCATTTCGTGTGCCAGTGGAATTTCACACTCAGTTATTTAAGTGTATCGTGACAAAACTCTTCACTATCCACAACAATTTCCGTCATAACGTTTTATCTTCCTGTACTAAACCACTTAATTCCACATTTGTTCAATATACATATATATGCACTTCGGTAACACGCAAAATGTACGAGCCTTTGCTTATTCACAAAAATACTTTGCGTCAATGTATCCCTGTAATTAGGGAGGTATTTTGCGCAGCAGACGTCACTAAACAGTGAGCTTACTTGGAGTACTCAACTGACGAGAAACGTCTCCGTCATGAACCTAGCTGTCTTGTTCCGATTGCACTCTGTTTTCTTATTTCACAATGCAATTGATGGGGAGCTATCTTTTAGAACACAAAGCTGGGGATGGAAAAATAGCAGCTATTTGACTTGACTTGAATATTGGAAATCAGTTATAGTGAAGGTTGTAAAAGACACGCAAACACATTTTCAAACGAATTATTTGTTTTCTTGAGTACTCTATTCTGTTTTATCTAGCATTTATTTCACAGTTACCTGTGAAAAGTGCTATGAGATAAGTGATAACCATTTAGACTGACCATCCTTCAGTTTCCGTATTCGCTAAAAGTCCTGAGTTCCTTCGTTCTACTAAGCACTCCAAAGGCGGTAGACTCGGGTTTCAGTCTTGTTGGTACACATTAACAGTACATATCTGCAGCTCTTTCCAGGCTTTAAGCGCACCATATTTATTGTGTACAGTGCGATTGCTCCATTGCTTCATGCCGTCGTGTCCTTCTCACCTATGACCGGCTGTGTACATTCGAAGTTCATTGTGAATCCTAAAGACTAGAAGTGGTGGACAAGGCGTAGGTTTTCGCTCGGGTTAAGCTGAGCTAAAACACGCTCCTTGTTGCGGCTGAACCAACCGACCGGTCAATGAATAACTCCGGTAGATTGCGTCATTTTCAGAATCGCTTATGAAGATAACCTATAAATTCTATACTGCTTAACCGCTAACAGAAAATCATCACAGAGGAATCAGTTGTGGTGTGATACTCCATCCTGGCAATTCATAATAGAAAATGTTTATGCGATGAAAACATTTTGCCAACACTGAACTGGTCTAAAATACAAGGAATATTTTTAAGTGGGTTCTGAAAAAGAATATCGCATTAAAACATAGGACTTTTTTTAAATTACGTCCTCCAATATGCACTAATATGGGCTAACTACAACGCAAAACTGCTCTACATATTTTTCTAATCGGCTGTTTTTCGCTTTGGACTTAATTGCTAATTATATCAAGGATAGATTTCCAGATAAAGAAACAGTGCATATATTTTTCTATAAAAAGGTGTTGAATATGAAGATAGTTTTCTCCACCTTCAGAATGGTACAAGGCGAAATACTTTCGCACTTCGCGATGACACTTTTTTGCAGTTCCTAAAATATTCTCGGTTTATGAGAATAAACTGTTGGCTCTAGATATTCCTACAAAAAGAAATCTGGGGGCGACAATTAGCGTGATCTCGGAAGCCATTCCTTTGGTCTTTCTCGGTTGATCCATCCCTCTGTTAATTCCGAATCGAGAAAACATTTGACCACCAGACCAGTTTGTGGTGGTGCACCGTCATTGTAGAACCAAATGGGGGTACCAACTTCCGCTTCCATACCGGATGACAGGTGTCACATTATCCTGCAGCATGCCAGATATGAGACACCTTTAGCAGTGCCATAAGTAAAATTGTACTTACCTGTCATGTTTCCGTTGTAGAGTTAAGGCCTGATAATCGCGCCGTGAATGACAAGTCGACACTAACCCCCTGAGACCGTGCATTGATTTGAAGCCAAAAGTTATCTTGTATACTCGACGACCCATTGATGTTGGATTCCTTAGACAAGTCCAGTGTTCTAATATGATAATGTTTTCTCTACCCGCTTAAAAATACTATTCCCTTCATCTCAGACCAGTCAAGGATTGGCACAATGTCATCTTTGTATAAACTTTTCCATTCTGAATTGCCCGGATAGTACATCACTCTATAAATGATTCCTCTATGATGAATCCCTGCCAACGCTTAAGCAGCATAGTACTCATAACCTTTCCTCCTGTGTAATATAAACGCATACGCTTTTTTCGTGGTCGGGAGAAATGGTCAGTCAAAGTACGATCTTGTAAGAAAAAGGAAGGGCGATGGTTGTTTGCTTCCGAGTTAATCTAATGATGATCAACACTGCTGGTAAACCGTCAGTTAATGTAACTTGCACCGACTGGCATATTGGAGTTAGATCACGCGATCTGCGATCTCCCTCATGCTTGCATCCTTCACCAGTAGTGTTAACCCTCTTACTGATAATAAAACTGCAAAACAGAACGGTAAAACGAAGAAAGATGAGATCAAATGTGTGTCATATGGGGCAATAGAAAACTTATCTTTCGCATACAATTACCGAAAAATAGCATCTCGTACTATGTAAGAATTTCAGCTGGTCTTTTATTTTATGACAACTGACAAACGGAACTGGGCAGCTCTTTTGGTAACGTGTCAGCAGTGCGTACTGTTTCTGTCCCCGTCAGTACTGGAACCGCAAACCTTCGGATTGGGAGACATATAAATATGTTTAACTGGTGAGCAATTAACGAGCCCTCAAGAAATGAACTCCACACACCATCAACGGGGTCTGGTATCGGTGACCAATTGTATAAACTAATTCAGACGTCCTAATCGAAAAAGGTGTTTCGTTCCCTTTGGAACTGAAGTGAAAATTTAGAATCACTTATTGCCTTAAAAAATAAAACGCGACCACTTTCAAATGTACTTGGTATTTTCCATTTCAAACATTTTACTCCTTGATAGGGTTCTGGTGCCTCGGACTGTCAGTTTCTAATCACACGTTTTCGTGCACAAGGCTTCATTTGTCTATCTCCGGCAAGTGACACATCCAAATTTCTGGGTATGGAAGACGACGGACAGGTACGACTTTTCTCCGAGCAACATAATGGATCCACTCGATTCTATCCGGAATTGGTAAAAGGTATGTGCTTACTGATTAGAAGTGAAATCACACTGTGATGCAAATGGCTGGAGTGGTTCGCTTCTAATTGACAGGCACTGATAAGAAATAACAGCACACCGCCTATAGTGCTTCAGTAAGAATTAGTTTGGCAAACTCCCAAACGACTGAAAGAGCGGAGTCATATATATATATACCCAAAACAATCTGTCCGGGTGGTATGTCAGCAGAACACGGCTTTGCCACAGTTTGCTGAGGTTGTGAGAATGCGACCCCACAAATTAGACCTATAAAAGCGATANTTCGGACTAGTTTGGTCCTTCTTATTCTTCTCTATTTACTTCTTTTTATTGAATATGTCATGATAAAAATAGTTCTTTTAATAGGGATGCGACCAATCAAAGTACCGTAGTACATAGTAAATGGGGAAGGTTCGGTGGGGTTGCAAGGGTTCGAACACGCTTCCCCGGGGCGATAAGTTGAGCAAACACCATGGTCCCGATCTCATGTGTTTCCCCATTTCTACCCTCTGACTAATCTGCCGCCGATTAGTGAACTTTTATTCTCCCTTTGATTTTGCACAGTCAAGTGTTTTCCGCTATCCCAATTTTCATCACGATTCTGATCGAACTTTTCCATGTGAATGTATGTACACAGTTAAGGGGGCAACTGGAAACAGTCGAATTCAACCAGTTATTGGAGAATGTTTTTTTCTTGCTGTTTTAAGATTGTAGGATTTCAAATTTTAACTCTTTTGTGTGACAAGTATAGTTACGAAATACCGGTGGTAGATTATGTTGGGCTCAATCGCGTCACTACAAAATCTCAGACTTACTCCATGACATGAATCAGTGAAAGCACGATCTAAATATGTGGACATACAGTCCACATAAGCCATAGCATTTCAACTCCCTATAATTTGATTTCACAGTCTGATAGTAGTATAATCTCTGCTATTTGCAACCTAGGACCTGGCGTGAGTGTATTAGTCCTAACTAAGAGACTCGATCATATTAAGTCGCATTAGACTCCCTTGATAGGGACCCCAGGATCATTGTAATGATGGTTAGGGACGCTCAGTAATATGGCTTTGTCATAAACAGTGGTGCTGGTGCATCTCTTCATTATCTTTTCAAATTTAGTTTCCAATTTACCTTAGATTCAACTTTCAACCTTCCAGGTTCTCTTCTTCCTCTACATCTAAGAAGATAGCTTGGAGACAGCAACGGTGCAGGAAGATGCACGGTGAACGGTTACACAAAATGAACTGAACTAATTTAAAAAGCGATTTAAAACAAACACCCGTGGAACATAACTGAGCTCATAAAAATCTGTACTATTTGCGAACGACCAAGGGGTATCCTTGAAAAAATCGACGACTGCCACCCAAATCTGTCACACACAGAGGCACGCATCAGTCATCATCATCCTCATCATCATCATCGTCAACAACAACAAAATTATACTCGGCCTGAATTCTTGTACCGATCGTCCAACACCATGCAACACCGGGTTACTCGGAATTACAGCTAGACGGCAAAGTCAACTGGGCAAAAGACTGTGGCGCTAGTTTTCATCCTGGACAGAATAGTAATACGACATATTTCCGGATTTATTAAAATGATAACTTACCACGCCCATGAGTTAGTACTTTCAATCAATGGGCACTATACACACCCCACTTTCTTTCTATAGCCTACTGCTACCTCCCACCCACCTCCATTTGCTTAATTTTCACTCAATCGCATTTTCAGCGAATCCATCATTCAATGCGACTTACTATTGCATAAATACTACAGTAGGAACTGTCACATAAATTGTGATGCTGGGCGTAGCCTCCGGCAACTGCCGAGTATTAATGCTCACAGAAAAGGGCAGTGTTCTTTAAGCATTCACGTGGAATACACATACACAGGCATTCGAGCGAATATTAATACCAAAGCGTTGACCTCGTGGGCAGTTGCTCACGCTCATACACTCTGGGGATGATTTGTGGGGGTGCGCGGGTAGTTTTGGGTTGAATACAGCATCTGATAATAGTCAAATTCCAATGTGACATGAATTCAGTCACAAATACGGATGATATGTTCGAACAACATCGCACGTATCCAGTGGTAATTAGTTTCATCCCTATCTTTACTTCACTTTATTCCGGAAGAAAAAAATTATTCTATAATGTGACATCACATATGGCGTGTTTGCTGTGCACAATTGATGATGAGTGAGACATCCAACCAAGCGAAGATTGGAATGTCCGTTAACTGATCTTCCCTAAAAAGTCAAAGTTACGGTATTTTCAAGAATTTGTTGCAGTCCTTGAGCTTTTTAATTGAGGGAACCATATATATCAGGATACCTATAATCTTCGCCGTAACTTCATAATTCATAATTCTCCAGATGGTTGTCTTCGGATAAGTCTCTGCCGAGCGCTTCATTTGTAAATCACTGTCATTATTATCTGGCTGTCTCTGTGGCTAAGATGCTACTAACCTCAACACTCTCAACCAATATACCTATTTTGAACGGATACGCTCCTCCGGAGAAGCAAATCAAAAACATGTTTGAAGAACTTTGTATAACAAAAGCGGAAGTGAAATAATCGACTGTCAAAGAAATTTGGCGACACAAGTGCCTAATAGGCCCTAGCAACGACGAAACCAGTCGTATGCTCCATTTTGTTCAACCATGCAGGTACAACTAACAGCAGAATAGACGTTTGATCTATCAAAGAAGTTCGAAGTTACGCGACAAATAAATGTCAACTGATTTGCTGGCTTTGACCAAATAACTACATCGCTACAGAACCAGATCATACACTTTGCGTTCAAAGATCGACAAGAACGGTATAATGTACATGTTTTTCAATTCCCATGGTTGACCGTTGGGTGAATATGGACAAAGTTCTCACCTAATGTAGCTGGTGATTTTTCTACTTTCTTTAGATCCTATTATTTAAACTTTAATGATCAGGATAGATATTGAAAGAGTGAAACTCTGAACCCTTGTGGCCCTTAGTATCTGTATATTGCTGGTCGTATGACATATTAGTCAGCTGAATGTTACGCGTCAAGGTCGAATTGTGAAGCACGCTTCAGTCTGAGATCCAACTCTTGATGGCCAATGGCTCTAAGTACCGATAAAGATCATATTTTATAACGTTTCATGCAGTTACTCTTGATTGAGCTATCTCCTTCGATCTTCGTGATTCGTGATTCTGATAAATTATACAATCCTAGGAAATCGCGTTTAGAAAAATTTCCCAGCCTTGCCTGCGTGTGTTTGCAGGGTCTCCTTCTGGTTCCATTCGAATTAAAACCCAATAGATTTCACAGATATGCAGATGAATGATGTCTGCTTTTGGTTTCCAACTACTAACTAACTACAAACCGTTTAGTAGATTATCTTTAGGTTTGACAAATGGAAAACTGGTCAAAGTTTAGGCAACTGGTTATATTATTAACATTTTAATTTTTCCATATGAGTAATAGGGTACTTAATTCCATTTCAAGGGGGAAATGCGTCGCATATAGGGCAAATGAAGAGCGAACTGCAAAACTAGAAAGGAGTGGATAGCTGTTTCGACCTGGTTCGGTGTCCTCAGCATGTGAATCTATCTGCCCAACTCCTCTATTGCACACATGAAACAAGTAATCAGGTTGTGCATGTTTTCAACCGAGTCAATACCCCGGAGGCTAGTGCTGAGATGAGCGAGGTCCGTGGCCCGCAACAAGCTCGCAAAGATGGGTCATGCTGTATCGTGTAAATGGAAAGTGAAAACGGTTTGATCATTTGCCCGGTGACCAAATGGATAGTATGTTTGCCTTCTTCCTGTGAGGTCCCGGTTCAATCCCCATTTGGGTCGGTGAATTCGCATTGCTGATGAGATCTAACGAGGTCAAAACAGCTGTCCAGTGCTTTCTAACTTTTTAGTTCACGCTTCATTTGTCAATACGCACCAAATTTCCACTTTGAGATTTCTATTTTTATCCTTTTTAAGTTTATTACTGATTTTTTAACGAGTGCCTTATAATAAGGTTCCTAGTTTGTGTACTCCTCTGTTTCTAAATATCGATAGAATAATTCCGGTCATTTCTGATACTTCTGCTAGGTGCCTCAAGCCTTGAACCGTCGTTATCGTCGATGATCCATTGTTTCCAGAACGAAATTTGTTTTAGCATGAAAAAAAGAATATCAAGTAACTGTTGTGAACGAACAAAGTGAACATGTGCTTTTGGATTCTGACCGGCCATCATTCAGACTTCATCTGAGTTCATCCCGTCAACCAAACATTCAAGATACACTAAGCTCTTATTCCACTGTTGTTATTTCTCATTAGTAGTGCATATCCACCTTCTTGTCCGGGATTTCTACACCGGACTCCTCACATGAAAGCCGTGTGTTATCACTGTGCCATCCCGCGCACACCGGATCTGAACAGAACCATCAATTCAAGTATGTTCATGTGTGGTCTCCAGTGATAGTCAGTCGATTCATTTTGGTATAACAGCAACAAATGGAGACAGAATTCATCATCTTTGAACTCCAATCGAAATATTAATATTAAAGTAGGTCTTCTATGTGAGCTCGGGCTGGCTGAACCTTTTGATCCTACTGGGAGGAATTCTTACTTTACATTTTACTCACAATAACTTGAGAGTGAAGGTGTGGCATAAATGATATCGATTTGGACTGACCATCCTTTAGGCTGTCTTCATACATAACCCTTTCGATCGGTAGTCAACTGTCTCCATTCGCTGCGGTTAGCCGAAAGTGACTTAACCGATCAAAATTGAAGATCACAACTCTAATGATTCGAGGCTTCGTTCTGTATTAGCCTTAATATCCAACGTAAAATTTAAATTACTCATTTAAACCAAAGTTTGTTCTAGAAGAAAGTGGTTCCTCAGACCTTGGAACAGGCTATCATTTCACCTATTTACAAAGGTGGCTGCAGAAGTGATTCTGTGAACAATCGTCCAAGTACCGTTCTTCCTGTTCTGTCAAAGTAATGGAATCAATTATTGCTGAATCCCTGACGTCGCATTTCGAGAAGTATAAAATTCTTTCGTCGGTCCAACACGGATTTCGAAGAAAACGCTGGTGCATCACAAATCTGCTACTTGCAAGAGATGAATGAACAAGATCAGTCGACACAGGAGAGGCAGCAGAAGTAGTATACTTAGACTTCTCCAAAGCTTTTGATAATGTTAGCTACCGTATACTACTGCAAAAGCTCCATAACTATGGTGTTCGAAAACTGCTCCTTGACCGGACTAAGGAATTTCTTCAAAAATGAACCGCATCGATTTGAGTCAATGGTTCTCTATCGGGACCAACTGAGGCTGTCCGCGGAGTTCCACAAGGATCTGTACTTGGTTCGTATCTTTTCCAAGCGCTTATAAACGATCTACCAGCTATCCATGGAGAAAAAGCATTATTATTCGCTGATGACGCCAAAATATGGAGAACGGTACAACATTTTGAAGATTATACAACCCTACAGTAAACTCTCGACGTAGCTTAAAGATGGTCTATCAATACTGAAATTCAATTCAACGTTGAGAAATGCAAGATTGTATTGTTGCTCCACAGGGATTGCTTGGAAATCACCCAAACTAAAAGGATCTAGAATGTTTCACACTTCGTATTAGAACGGAATCAAAGGTCATAGAGCAGGATGGATTACTGAAACGTATTTTTGGATAATTCGAAGCAGACCTATTCCTCCGTTTGCCCACAGCATGCATTAGACTACACACCGAGTATGCTATACAGGCTTGTTATAAATAGCTAATTCCCAACCAAAAAGCCCTCGAACGTCCGCAGAGAACAGGAACCAAAATAGTCAAAGGGTTACAATCTAAAACCTAAGGGAAAAAACTGCATATTCTTGGACTCTATTCATCTGAATACCGTCGAATTAGGAGAGACATTATCCTTGTGTATCAAATACTAAATCAACCTAATCACCCTTGTAGAACTCTACTAACACTACCCGGTAATGATCACCTCAGGAGACATCCGTTAAAACTTTTGTTCCAAAAGGATCGGTTAGACTGTAAGTGTCAATGCTTTTCAGCCTCAGAGTTTGTTATACCAGGAATTCTCGTACATCTCACGTTGTTTGTGCTCTAAACGTCGGCTTATTCAATTTACGGCTCTATTAAGCAATGAAATACCTAACTTTTCGGAACTCATGAGTGAACTTTATAATTTGCTATTTAATTGTGTAGAGTGTGTAGAGATCCTATCTGATTCAATAAGCACCAGTTTTGCAATTAACCCATAATAAAAAATTGAAATTTAATTTGGTTTTGTGCGTCTGCGCAAAGAGAGGGAAAGAACTCCAGAGGTTTTCAGATTGGATAGCTAAATATTAAACGGTTGTGCAGTCTATTTTGACGTAGAGACAATGGCCAATCAAAGAATGACTGGAAAAATACGGAAATGTGTAGTATCTCACTTCTTTTCTACAAGTTCGAGGCTGACTACCAAAATGCTCTTCTTTGGTTTAAAACAGTCCAATCTAAAGAAGTATTGTATCGTTTCTGTGAAAGATTCGACGAAGAAGAGTTTTCTCATAATTTTATCGCCTGAAATATCTACTTGGTTTGAACACAATGGACCATGTGAAATAGAAGGATTCTATAAGTTCCCTCCAATAAACTGTTTTATTGCAGCTGGAGTTCAGCTCAGTCCGGATTTTTTCCGTGAAAAGCCGCCAGAACCAGGAAATACAGACACAGTCTCGTCAACATCGTTGTGTGCCAGTAGACGCCTATCAAAATTTTCCACTGTGGAGACTGTACAGGCAAAAGAATCGAAATTCGAAAGAAACACGCCAAGTCCATCACAGACAAGCGAACGGAACGTTTCTGCTCAATCTTCCAAGTCTCCTTCAGAAAAAGCACCTATAGGTTGGTACACAGTTTTTTTCACTCGGTAAATGAGTTTTGAATACAGCCAATGATATGAATAAGTCAAAAGCTGTCACTTAAAAACGCACAACACATGGTCGTTGGTGGTATTTTGCATCGTTGGATGGCATCTTGATGCGGAATAATATTTTTTGCAGATATATTTATTCTGATCCCACTCATAGTTCAAAAGGCGATCTATCCACAATCAGTTTCACGCTTCAACTCGTTCTGTCTATCCTTTTTTACTCTCCCGTATTTACAGTTAATAGGTATTGGTTTCTATTTACAAAGGATCTATCAACAATCATTTTACACGGTTATCACATGATTTTTTGAGACAGCACATTTCAAATTACACATTGTTTTCTCTCCAGTTCCATTGCGTTCTGTCACCATAAAGATGAAAAATTTTTATCAGACAGTTGCTCGATGAAGCTAATTTTACCCCTGATAACTTGCTCTAGGGTAAAATCAGGCTAATGCGTTATGATATAACTGGACGTGAAATCTTCCAGACATAAATGAATATACCGTGAATCCCGTCATATGATGATATACGGGTTTCCTGTGAGCCCATTTCAGTGGACAACACTGGATGTATGAGCACGTCAGTGGTTACGTTAACCTACAGTGCTGCCCATTGATCGCTAACTTCCCCGGTCTTGTAGGATAACAATAATAGGTGTAATTAAAAAACACTGGAATAATGAAGAAATCTAGTTGATCTTTATTGGTCCTGAGAACTAACCTATTCGGAGTGAAATTTCAGACAACAAACATGAAGCATATTCTAGCTTATCGATTCTCTGAAAGAAGTTAAACTTTCCAAGGTCTTTAATTTCACATATGGCTTAATCGAGCTATGGTACTGAGCCTCCCCCTACGATCCTCCGTTCCCTGTTTACTCCATTTAAGTGATCATCACCTTTTTTGAGAACCTGATGGATAACCAAATAAGATACCGGAAGTAAATATTGTATTAGACGATCCCATATTTTAACGAAAACATTTCGGAAAATCATCATTTTTATTTCGCTACGGTATTGCATATTCATGAAAGTGGTCCACTGAATCCAGTCTGGTACCGAATGCTTCGGTCATTTTGTTTCAACACTTCTACACACTTGGAAGTACTCTGCTTAAATTTCGAATGTTGTCTCTTTAACGGTATTGTTTTAATCCCTAACCAAAAGCATCTCTACAGTATTTCCAATTGTTTAATAACAAGCAAAGTTCAAAGTGCAGTGGTCTTGTTGCCATAAAATTGTGATTTCTTTGTATATTTTTGCTGTAATCAAAGATAATTTAGTGGAATTTAATATTAAAGTTTTTTTTCAGTGCTGTCTGATCCTTCCGAAAGGGGAACAACCGTGCATTTCGTAATATTTTTTTTAATTTAGCACTCAAACACGTTGTACAAACCTGATTCCTATCAAATTGATATTTCCTCACACACCTACTGTCCTAAGAATAAAGCTAACTATTCGTTCTTTGGTTAATTAGTGTATAAATGGCTGACAAAAAATATCGAGAAATTATTTGTTTTCAATATCATTTAGTTGCCAGGCCCCGGGGATGACTCAGAATATAATAATATCTTTGTTCTAAGTGTATCGGGCTATCAGCCATTGGTTAACCAGTGAATTGAGGATATATCTTTGGACTCAATGCTACTCTTAAATGTTGTTTCACTGTGTATTCATTCAAGTTTCAGAACGTGACTGGAAAGTGTCAATCGTCACTGCACAAGAAGCGCAAAATTGTAGCGTCATTCTCGTTGTTTATGGACTGAAAGCGAACTCCGGACCCATTCTTATCGGTCGCTCAGACGACGAGGAAAAAAAGCTATTTCGCACGAACAGCACAGATGGTTTCATGGTAAGATGGTTGAGTTTTAGGCGTTTCTTTCAATCGGATGACGCATCCGATTTCTGCATTCGTTGAGCATCACGCAGTAATAATAGTTGTAGCAGGAAGAGGAGGAGCAGTAGGAGCAGTTTCCGCTGTTCCATGAAAAATTGTGAGACTTAAATCGGTAAACCCAATTTTAAAGTGTCAAGTGAGGTTCTGTCTCGGAACATAATTTATGGAACGAAATGTTACCTGGTTATTAACAAATTGTTCTTTCTCACGGATCTTTTTGCATTTTAGCGTATTGCGAATGATCCTAATAAAAATGTTAATTCACTCAAGACGAAAATTAAAAATCAATATAGTGGTAGACCTTCGTTACATATCTCCATGGTTCTTTAGCAAGCTCCCTGATTATTTTAAATCTCAGATAATCCTTAATCTATCTACCACACAAAAATTATTTTCATTCAGGTGTAAGGATTAAAAGCAGTTCGTTTGTTCAATCGTAAACAGAGCGTCTGTTTGTCCCAGGTTTTTTCTGCAATCCGCTCTATCCAATGAGTGTGCAAACTCACATGGCACGAAAGAAACTCTGTCTAACGTAATTTATGTGCTTTTTGGTTTCTAAATAGGTTTCATTTATTGAAGGTGCATTTCGAAAGTAAAAAGTGTTTGCAAATTTTATGTGTACATTGTTTCACCTACTAGATTTCTGACACCACTGAAGAGTGACAAAATGTTCATCTACGTAAACAGTTGCCAATCATTTACCGGTTCAGAAATCGTGTCTCAAACGTGTACATATCTTTAAGTGAGAATAAGCGGCACACAGACGTTTTATGGAAGTAACTAAATACTGAGATAGCCCTTTCCGTAAAGAAACTCAACACGAGAAGGCAACTAAGAGTAGCGTTGTACCATTTACATTCGGACATACTTCCCGTATATTCTCCGTTGCATGGAATGAAAATTTTACGATTCAGACAGTAGTCGTGTTACCGGCAAAATCTCTGCTCATTGCACTAGTCTTCCTGGAAACCGTCAGAATTCTGACCAATTCTTTCTGTCCAAACAAACAACGGGTTCATAGTGCATCACTATCACTTCGGTGAACTGTGGTGCGTGAGTCGAACTCCGGGCCGTCAACAGACCTAGAAAATGCAGTTGTTAATCCGGCTAGATGTTTTTCCCTAAAATATCACGCGCAATAGTAATATGGTCTCATATGAGATGCATATGCTGGCTTAAATGTAATAAAATTAAGCTGGAACATACAAACATTCATTCCTACCTAATCTGAACTTGTCTCGGATATCATGTGATTGCATGAGGCGAACATTATGGATCAGACGATTTTAAAATGTGATAACATGTACCTTTGTTTGACATCACCTCATAGTATTATGAACTCAGAAAGATATGGTTTCTGTTTTCAGATTGTTCTTGAAAACTTGGGGAAAATATTCAAAATTCGTTTCGAATTAACCCCGCTCGACAAAGAGCTTGCGATGAACTGGGAACTGTTGGAAGTGAGTGACTTCAAATTCTGCAAACGGTTATTGATGAATGTGTTTATTTTAAAAACAGACCTCTGGATTACAATACGAATTAGCTGCTTAAACAGGATTATTTTTTAACACGATTTTATTTACTGAATTTAGCATGTCGTATCGCTGATATGATTAATATAATACTGACAAAGTCTAGGTCATTTATCTCCAATATTTTGAACTGCGTTTATTGGGCACCGATGGAGAGACTAATTGATGCTTAGTGTGAAATTTGTTATGCAGCGGCGAAAAATCTTAGTGTTGTGAGATGCTACTCACTTGTGAGTAGTAGGTAACATAGTTTGTGATTACTTTCGACGATTATAAATTAAGAAAACCACTGCAGGCAAATTTCTATATCTCAGAGAATAACTATCGATTGCTACGCTCATTACCCGCCGTTCAACTAGGAACTGCGATAGTATGTTTCTGATGAGATTTGCTGGGTTATGTATGCCAAATCACTGATGTCCCACCTGTGATCCTCAATAAACGATTATCCTCGACCAGCACCGCTTTCTGGAATTATAACATTAGTAAAGTTATAATCCTTCCCACTCTACATTATATTTCTCTTTGGATCATTATTCATCCATGAGTTGTTTTTTAATTACACCCCCTTCCTATGGGATGAACAGTAGAATGGACGAATTACACGTTTGATATGATCTAACATTTACTCGTGGTCGTGATCGACCTAAGTGCGAGTTACGGACCACATGAAAGACAACCGCGATAGGTGTGTAGATGGCAAATCTGAAGAACATACTACGGGAAACTGGTTGAAGTCGTCACTTTGATGTATATTGAAGTTTCACAAAATAGAAGCCACGAGTCTGGATAGCATCCTCATCTGCCCATCGTTTTCGGCCAAAATCCTGAAAGTTGGAAATCCATTTAGAAGTATTTTGATGATGAAGAACGACAACATGAATTCCTTGATTTGCAAACATTCTGTAGCTGGAGGTGAAAAAAGGACTACGGCATACTGAAAAAATGGTTTTATTTTAAGCCTATGAATACGCATATCAAGATCAGTCCATTTACAAAGAATAAAAATACTGAGACAAATTGGATTTTAACGATCTCCCAAGGAGTGAAAGCCACGTCCAACATCTTCAACAGTGCCTGGTGCCTGTGGCAAACCGAATGGGCTAATACAAACGTTCACCATCTTAATTGGCTTTGTACTCCGTGGAATTCCAAACCGCTTGTCCGGAGACGACAGAACCGAAAGAACTAGATCCCCAGAAAGTTCCTAAGCAATGCGATTTTGCCTTCTACTTGGACCGTTGGTTTAGAATAAACTCATAGTAGTAGCGGGATATGCGGTAAACAACCCGTGAGAATAAACTAAACTGACACAAAATAGAATTTCATCACAATAAACTAAATACACCCGAATATCAGTATTTTATCATAGATAACCCAGTGGTCAAGAGACATAAATAATTCCACTCGGAAACTTTTGCGGCAATTAAAATGATTGCTTGAAGTCTAACCTCATCGATCTACAGCCAGACTGCGTCCGTGTTGGAAATATCGTTCACTAATTGCTCTCGTGAACGGACAACACAGTGATGGTTCAATGCCCTCGTGATGATGTCGCTTTTGGTGAACGCCCTAAATTTCACGGGTATTTACGGGGCTAGAGAGAGAGAGGGGGGAGAGAGAGAAAGCAAGGGAGAGAAATGTTTTTTACCCCGAGAAGGTAAAACTGACATCCAGTTGTGGTTTTGTTTCACTTTTTCTAACCATGTGGATCAACTAATAATACCACGAATCACTTTGAGTCAATCACACTCAAAAGATAGCATGGACAGTAAACGGTGCAGGACTGCGCATTAACTAGAATTCACAATTGGGAAAGATAGTACCAAATTCTTGGTTGAATGGACAGCTCCTAAACTTATCCACTTACCTTTAATGTGGGCGCAATCATCGGTATAGTCTAGGCAGACACAATAATTTACTGATTGTTTTGGTATACGTGATCGTGGTATTTTGTCCCGGGTTTAGTGAATCCGTTTGTGTAAAAATGAAAGCCAAGAGTAGGCAAAAGTGATGCATTAGGTGTACACCTATTGGTTTTGTACTGCTCTCGAAATCATTATGGTTGTTCGAACCCATTTGTAACCAGGAATTCACCTAATTGATGCACTAGTAAAGTTAGTTTCTATTATTTATTCTCTTGGATGACTTTATAACAGTGGCGGCAGTAATAGTAGCATAAATACTCCAATGGAATTGTTGTATATATCTTTCTCTCGATCATGGGAAACAGATGACTATGCCAGCTTATTCAGACTAAACAGATGGTAACCATGACCTTGAGATTATACAAATAAGGGAACCGTGACGGAAGGAAGAAAACTATCCGCGAAGCACGTGCAGTCTTAGCAACTGGTCCAAACGAATTCGTTCCGATGCAGACAGTGCAACAATATCTATCAAGCGCATGCCCGCACAGCGTAAATTCGCCACGTGTCTAAGCGAAATGAAGTTTCTTAACTTCGTCTAATTTCAGGGGATCATACTAACAACGTAAAATTAGGTTTGAATTCAGGGGTTATCAACAGAACATGAGTGAACGATTTCAAGATAAAAATACCCATTTACTTGAACAAACATCCCTGTGATCCGCACCCAAAAGTTCGTGTTTCATCCATGAAACAGATTTGTTTTCACATTTGATCTATCGAATGCATTACTTGACTTAAATGACGTCGATTTCATGCTAAATAGAGATTATGCATACAAGGAAATACTCCCAATAGCGCTTTTGGATAATCCTGGGAAGCGATTTTTCATATTGCAAATATTTCGATGTTTCAATCCCATTTTTACCTTTATTTCATCCAGGTCATCCTTGAAAACTGCGTTGTTGATCAGAAACTGTCCTTCGACTTTTCTGGTCGAGCGTTTGGAAGGACTGACAATTTCTGTCAGTATTGCCGCGAACAGTTGTGCGAAGATTTGGTCAACGGGGCAAATCGCGAAACGGAAACGGAATCGCTCGCCGATAACTTGAGCAAATTCGGACTTGATCAAGCCACCATTGAGCTGAACGAGATACGCACTGGCCTCATGCATTATCGTGTGCGGTTAGAATTGCAAGCGGAGCTGGGATGGACCGTTGATCAAGCCTTATTTGAGCCGCATATCAGTTTGGTCGGGAAGTACGGAGATACAGGACGTCGGCTGACTCCACTGATAGAGCCCACCTCAATCAAGCCAAGTGAAACGGAGCGCTGTTGGGTGCGTATATTAATTTCACAATCCTATAATTCTTGGCTAGTCTCATTTATGCATGCACGTGATTTGACGAAAGTTTGCAAGTAAAATGAATTCTTCTGAGGAAAAGTTACATTACTCTTTAATCGATTAATGAATGGATAGGATGAGAGTTCGGAGAAGTTGGACAATGAGCAGCAGATGCTTGTACACGTATATTTATATCATTGTGTTAAAAATGCACTTTTTCAGAAGAAAATACTCCGAAGCAAGATTTTCTTGGTATGATTCCAAGGAAAATTGTTTTTTCCTATTCCCAGATAGTAGAACATTAACCGAAAATATGGAAATCAGTTTGGGGCTATTCAAACCTGGTTGTTTTCTAGCTGCATGAAAATAACCACTGCCAGTCACGTGCCATGTGTGATTTCAATCTGCACTGTTCCCTGTCTCTCAGCCCAAGTAGTATGGGTAATTGCTGTTTGTTTCTGTGCACCGCATTGTGTTGAATTGTTGGCTTATTGATGCCTGACTCTCTTGCTTGATCGTTTATGAACGGCATCTTGGAAAGCAAAGTAGGCATGCGATCGAACTCCCTGTGTATAAAGAAACACGCAGGCCCCAGTTACCATTTTGTAAATATATATGAATATATATATGTATATATGGGAACCATTTTGTTTTAAATAACTCTTCTTGTCATCAAAGTTATTTTGCCGACCAGCTGCCAACTATACACAGAGTGAAGTAATAGTTTCTCCATCTTCTAAGAGTAGCGGGATTGAGTCCAAACTGAGTTAACTCTTTATGATAAACTCACAATTGAACAGCTGAAACAAGTAGGCGTGTGATAATGAAATCATTGACCTGAATAGTATATGAAAACACATGTTGACATGCCGAGTCAGGTTACGAACCAGCTCTATTTTGTCCTATGCAGAATAACGAATGAAGTATTTGCATTTACGAAGTTACGTAACTTTTGGTGGATAATTAAACAGCATTTACTCGTAGAAAGTATTAGAAGCTTCGGTGGGATTTTAACTTGCGTGTGGGTGCCGCCTAGGTCAATGCACCACGCACGCCATGTCAGATAAACCACTGTGCCCGCCGACAGTTCTAATCTGTACAGATTCCATGCCAACTCAGTTTACAGAGACAAATAAAATTCACCAATTGCTACGCAAGCTGTTTGCTCTGGTGTGTGTGCATCAACAACATTCTCAATAAAAGCTGCTCTTATTGCCTTTTTCCAGGTTGTGTTTTAGTGTGTGAGTGAGAGAGCGTCAGCTTGCGCCTGTGATCAAGCCATTTCCTATTCTTTTGATTGAGTGATGAGTTTAACTAGCATGTCACATAAGTCACAAAGTGTCGGTAGCCTTTTGCTCCTTAGGAAGGGCTGTAAAACGAACAAAAGAACATCATAGTCACAAGACAAGCAATTCACTTTTCCCTAAGAAGAAGCCTCGGGCAAATGTATGGAGCAAACTTAAGCCATGTATCAAAACAGTTTTGAAATCTAATTAGTTGTGGGTTCAATGGTGTTTGAGTTAGCATCGTCACACATTTACTCTTCAAAAGAATTTCAATAAACCTGGCTGGGTACCACAATTTGGCCGCCGTCTCCATTCTCTGTTATACGGCAGACCTTTGATTAACCGGTTCCCACATTTCCTGAAAATTGTATCATTACCAATTCAATAAAAGGAAGGAAATTCAAAAAGAAATGAAGTTTTCCATGCAGTCAAAAAACGCGATTCATTCGAGCTAGTCTCCTTTGACTAAAAGTAATATTTGCCGTGATTTGTTTTCAAAGCGGTATGGGAAAAAATGACTCAAAAAAGAGACATCAATTGGCTTTGTCATGTGAAATTAAACTTGTGTGGTCAACGAAGGGCACTTTGTTGAATTTCTTTGGCCTGAATGAATTGCAATTCACTTACCAACAGAACAATGACTTTCTCTAATCGACGTTAAACATTTCGTTGTGGAAATCGGAAAATGAATGAGCGTTTTTGAACCACAAAAGAGTTTGCTATTCCAAACAATCAACCTGCTTCCAGTTCTGGTTTACGAGCTAGTGGTGATAATGTACGTGCTTATTTAATTTTATAACCATGTTCATTGACAAAACCATCTCCGTTTACCCGATTTGTTTTCTCCCGCTCGATCACCTTTTATCTGTGCTACTCTTTTTTGCATTACTCCAGTCGATTTCCTAGGGGTTGTCTGGCCGAGTTTTGCACCAATGATGCAGTAATCACGAAATTTTATCCGTAAACGTGGAGAAGCATCGTACAAAGCAAAATGTAACCACATCACGATATGCTTTTTCATGAGCTTAAATTGTTTAAACATTGTAGACTCTCGTATTCCGTGCGATCCGATAAAAATCCAACCGTGCACACTTACCGATTTGTGTTAAACAGAGAATGAAACTGTCTTTCTCTCTAACACAAACACAATTGTTTACCTAAGCATAATCGTTTTGAACAAACTGGTGGAGTAAAGCACTAATCAAAGACATGACCATCAGTAATTGATTCTTCCGTCAAGATGTCCCAGTGTGTGTTCATCTGATCAACCTCCATAATCTGTTGATGCTTGTTAGGACTACGTAGACAGAAACCCACAGTTTGTATAAGGCTTGTTTTGTTGTAGATCATCAGAATGTATGAACATCTGAATTTCAACCCGATCAAACCGTTCCGGAGAATCTTTCTATATTCGCTTCCTCTGGCACCTCTAATCCGAATACAAACTGACTGATAATTGCAAATCCTTCTATCGCCTTGTCCAAATCAGCAGCCAAAAGGCAGTAAACAAAACTGCCACACAAAAAGCATAGAAAACGGTTGTTTAAAATGAACGAAAGTGAAAAAAAATATAAATAGACAGACAGACAGACAGACAGAGTTTACATGTACCATCCACCAATAAACCCAACCAAGATCGTTAGCTTCTGCAAAACAATAATTACAGCAAGATAGTCAAACACAAGTTTTTGAACCATCTTTCTCCGTGCATAGGTCTACGTATGGCGTGGATTTCGTTTCCTCTAACCGGAACAATTTTTTAGGCCTCATACAAGACCACCAGTACTTTGAAATCTAATTACCTGTCATATTATTGAACCGGTTTATAGTTAAGCCAATGCTAGTTTATACAATAGTGTAGTCAGTCATTCTACGGTAACTCTTCTACTCACAACCCAAGGACAAGCGTTTGAACGCGTCAAATATTAATATTCAACCGGGGGGAATCAGCCCTAGAAACGGTTTTCAGTAAAAAAAAAACCACACAAATGCGCATACCAACCTGTCAATCTCACAAGCTTCTCGAACACATCTACGTTACTGGGTTTTTTTTCCTTATTCAAGTGAGGAGAGAAATGCTGACCTGATGTTACTTTCAACGAAATAGCTGTTACATACCTTGTATACTCGAAAAAGATAAACTATTCCCCACCCCTGATTCAGGAAATGATTTGGAAATGTTTTTAATAGGTGGTTATTCTCTCGCGTTACTAATACAAACAATGAACAACTAACAATAAGTTGGACTCACACCAGCCAAAAAAGGACTGTATTCCAAGGTGTTTGTTTGATTAAAGTTCATTGATTTTAACATTTATATTTATCAACTAANCAAGGTCTTTCAGCTGTTAAAGAATGATTGCTTGAATGTAGCACATTGGAAGTCGACTTCAGTTTTAACTAACTAGACTAATAAACAAAGGAGTAATAACTATGAGTATTCAGCGATTGTTTAGACTCAAATCATAAAGATTTTGGATGTTATGAAGTGCACAGACCCGTCTACATCCGAACTGGAGAAACCCACTGTATATACGATACAGATGCATACCAGTGTGGATATCATATCAACGGTGAGCTTCTCTGGCTTTTCATGATAGTCGTGGTATATCCAATGGGGCCGAAATTATCAAGTGAAAGAATTAGCGGATAAGTTGTGCCTGGGCATCGAAGGTTAAGCTGTCTGTCTCTCTTGCAGAATAACCAGCAGAGTCGGTTTGAATTTAAACCCCGAGGCCCGAGTTCGCGTCTCAGTGATACTTCCCAACAGTCTGTATTGGTGAAAGCCTCCGAGAAGTTCACTTTCCGTGCCAGAACAAAAGTGTTAATTAAAGGAACGCTGGTCTTCAAAATAATCTATCAGTTTGGAGGTAATTATTCCCCGAACTGCAGTATCACATAAATTAGGCTTTAGTCTAATCTGGTCAGGGAATCAGAATCTCGGTCTATGGTTAGAAATTATTTTTTTCTCCTCAGCGAGACCATTTTTGAAGGCACGTATAAGGACAAAGTACCATATCAACAAGACATCAGCATCTTTTCTTATACCAACTATTCTATCATCCACATGGTTAACACAACGAAACCAAATGAGTTTGCACCCTTCTCTCGGTGGGGTAAATTTGTGTCACACGTTTTTGATGTCCATTAACAGGAAGTGCAGTAACGGGAATACTTGAGAGTTCGCTCCAGTTGCTGAATTTCACGAACAGTCGGGATATCTTTTTGTCTGAGGAGACAATATCTTAAAAGTTTTCAAGAAAAATTATTTTTTCGGGACAAATCATCTTCCTCGCTTGAGGTTGTGGCCATCTTATTCCTAATGGTTCTTTAATATAAGAGTTCCGGGATAGCGTTTAATAAGGTCTGGGTTACTGAAATTACAGCGAAGAAAAATTTGCCTAGAGTGGTCAACAAGCTCGTATTCGATGAGACATAATCATGTCAAACACATCACTATTGATATCACTGGTGAAACAGTCCACTTATTTTGGGTGGCGAGAGATGAATATATCACTAATTGTCGGTGTTAGTTTCTGTCTCAAGACGACATGTACAATTCATAATGACCAAAACGTTGTTTATTCTGCCAATTGTCCTGAGTCATAGGGGTGTTCGGTAAGTATGGAGCGGGCCAGTGTGTACATAAATGGTTTTGGAGATTAGAGATGGAGCTGGGGAAACGAAAAACCAACACCCCAGCTGTGACTAGCATGCATGATAGAAACCAGATTAATAATCCAACCGAAAGCTCTTTAGGGGCTGGAATGCCTCTGAAACTGCCACAATGTGATTTATTTCACTTACGTGGGACCAATTCACCGGTATATAACTTGATGGTACCTGTGCTTAACTATGTCTCGTACCTCAAACATTATCAATGCCGGAATTTATACAAATATGCATATATATATATATGGCATCACTATTACGCACTTAAAACTACCTCGTTTGTCATTCTACTTTAGTTAAAAGGTGCTCTTCAAGCATCCATTAAAACAACAGCGTATTCATGATTTCACACAATGTAAAACATGAGTCATTTGATTTACCAACTCAATCCCCCCCCCCCCCGTCTGATATTTGAAACAACTAGTGGTTCAAGTTTTGTAGATTCAAATCCTTGATGCTCATCTTGAGTCTTCAACAGCAAAAACAGCTGTTCAATGCTCCTTGTTGGTCATCAGGTCATTCCGCCACGGTATATTCCATCTGCATGTGTTTAAACTAATATGTTTTTAATTTCAAAATTGGCTTTACGTGACTTGACTTGATATGATGCAAATTATTCAGGCAACCTTTGTGTCAAGGTTAGGGCTCAACAAAATGATTTGAAACCAATCAAAGTTAGACGGATATGTACCATCTTTTGAATGGAAATCAACATACACGGAAATAACCTGTTCACTAAAAATAAATACTTCTCACTCTCAAGTTTCCTCAGTCCAGTTTCTATTTATCGACCTACGATTTGCATTGCTTGGATGTGAAGAGACATTAATGCTTCACCAACCCCGAAAAATAAATTCTAAGTCCCAAGTGCTGTTTGGATTGTCTTACTCGTAACTCACGCATCAGGCTCAGGATAGAGCTTATTTTTCATTTCATTGTAAAAAGTATCTAGTAGAAATTGCACCATATAAATGTGCATACTAATTTTGTTATTCAGCATGCCACTCAAATGGATGACTCTACAAGCGATCTCAACTAAACGTTTGGTGCTAATTTAACAATTTCGTTATACACATTAAATCTGATGTGCTTTACAATTCTTCCTAACATCATCCCTCGGTATCTAGTGAGCGGAGTTGTTTAACGCGTCGTTCTTTTAATTTGCTGCTAACTAGATTTATCATCTTCAATTCATCAAAAAACCGCACACATGAAACTATTCACACCTGCGTTCGTCGTGTGTGTGAAAGGAGCAATCAATTGAAGAACTAAAATTTGTTATTATTCCACTTACCAAGTAATTACATATATGCTTGACATTCAACAAATGCCATAAGATGAATAAGACTGACAAGGCCACGTATGCGGTCGTTTGGTGCTGTCTGACATCCTGTGGATAGCGGATGCCTTAGGCTGGACAGTTTTCTTTAAATTCAAAAAATGCAACTTTTTACTGATAATGTTATTCACCAGAATAAAAGGTTTAGTATTACAAAAATGAATCCTATTTCTCGACGCCATATAACATGGATATGATGGTTGTTTACCTGGTTGCTAGGGGCGCCAAATACATGACAAAAAGGTGGATCATTACCATCCCACTAGAGTTATAATTTTTCCTTTTTCCACTGAATTTTTTTTCAGACCGAATTACCACACAAATATATTGTGTTAAAATTTGGCCATTAGTTGTCTATAATCATTGTTACAAACTACACCATACGGAGCCTGCATAATATTATTCTCTCCTTCGAGTACAAACCAGTAGAGCTCATTTAGAATATATCAGTCAGGTGAGACGTTTCATTCTCCATATCTTATTATTATTATATTATACTTCGCACTTGTCTGATGCCAGAGTGTGTGCCAAGCAAATCATGGTACAATAATCTTTATGAAAAAGTAAAACGTTCCATGATCTGCACGTGGGCTAAATACTGCCAGGTTGCCCAGGCCAAGGCAGGTGAATTTTCTTGAAGAATCCACAACCGGAGCCTTCGGTTAGCCAAATCCTGACCCACAAGGCAGTGGGGCGGTGATCGAAAACCGCAGTCCATTAGGGGCCGGTTCACTGGATCATACGCCCTTCGGACAGGGTTAAACGTCCAAGGTGCCCAATACACCACGATGCCTAAATGAGCCGGTAACCATTGCCACAACCAAAAAGGTGTGGGTGTGGTTCATGCTTCTCCTCATGGTTGGTTTGGAATCAGGGTTTTTGGCCAACTCCCCTAGGTGAACTACCAGTGGTCCACCTACCCGGTTATGGCCCCGGATGTAAGCTATTCTTCCTCTCACTTTGGTGGGAAAACACCTCCGCCACGCGAAGGCAGTAAGTAGGATTTCCTCAGCAGATGGTTTTTGAGACGCTTGGTCTTATGGGAGCATTTCGCGAGGTGCAACGGAGGGGTGACCAGCCGAAACCCTAGACACTCACCCCCGACCATACTGAGGCTGCCAATTTGAACCCAAACAGACTGCGTTCCTGTGTGTGTGGTGCGGGCAATTTCAGAAATAAAATAGGTGGCTTAACTACTTTCCATTCTTTCCCTTAGTAATTGTTTAACCTTGATTTTGATTCTTATTTAATTCTTGATTCTTACTTAATTCAAGTAAACTGCCTTTGCTTTGATCAGTTAGATTGTGTGCACTATAAGCTTCGTATACCGTGAGTTTGCCGGTTTTATTAATCAAATTTTCTTAACAGAAATGTAAATGAGAGTAGTTGAGTGTTCAAGTATCTCTGTTGTCTGATCCTGAGATTCACCAAGAAAACCGTTTTCCGTCGACAAGTCACATTAACAAGGAATACGAGTCAATCTGAAAAGTTCATTCCGGGGCATCTAGAACACCTCGAAGAATCGGCGAGGGCGACGCTAGACAGTATAGATAAACACTTCGATGCGCACGAATTCAAGTAATTTTTCCTTCGGGTTACAGTCTTTGACTTCACTGATATCTGGTCAAAGACTAAGTGAGCACGAAACTGCTTGGTCGTGTAACCTATAGAATATTGCACTACTCCGTATCACCGTGATTCTCGCAAGCGATCCTTCACGGCTCATACGCTTGTCAGCACTTCTCCGCTGAGAACATTTCTTTTAAGCACACCATTTTCTCAAAATGAAGCAGTGGATGATTTAATTCGATTACGAAATAAATTTATCCAGATACGGATCAGAGCAGTGATGAACTAAAGCGATCGGGTGTACTGTGATCCGCTGTAGCAAGTAGTCATTTTCAGAATGTTTGCAAATACGTCATGCCCCTGGAGAATGATATTAAGAGGCGAGGTGCTCGTAAGAAGCATGAAACAATGGGCTGTGCTTTATCGCATACTGATAGTGCAAAATAGCCTGCACGGTTAACTGGTGATCAATTGAATAAATCAACTGTGTTCCATCTATGAGATCCCGGATTTGAAACTTGGCGACCCACACCTTACAAGATCCAAACAGTGCTTCGGAGTTTTTCAAGTCAGAGTCCTTTTCCTTCCTGCGAGGCAGAATTTCACATTTGACCTTTATCTTAATGAATGACATTGGTTGAATAAGAAAAGAAAGTACAGAAGGAATGTCGAAGACTTGGGTTTAGGTAACAAATTCGAAAGGATTTCCTTAGTCGCGACAGGATATTTCCCGTTTTGTTTGATCTTACCCACTATTCATGTAACCCGCCTTGTTCGATTCTGAATCGTATTCTGGTATAAATTGTGAAAGTGTTCATTCCTCGTTTACTTCGTTCGGTGTTCATAACCTGTTTTTTCTACTTCTGCTGAGTCGTTTTGCTTTCTTGATCATCAGCTGTTCGAAACTGAAATCGAGGCAGTCTACCTGGGTGAACTGTCCAGATGCCTGCTGGGTCCGGTCGACGTGAACACCGTGTACACGGATGAAGAACGTAGTGGCCCAATGTGTACACGAGTTTTAGTTTGGGATCCTGTCAACCAGTTTCTATATTTTTTTCAAGCTGGAACGTGAGTTTCACCGTTTATCACAACCGTATTCATTCTATGTGCTTTCAATCAAAATAGATGGTTCGCTTAATGCTACTACTATCGGTAACCCAATTATAAGCAATCATTCTGCTTCTGAAACTTCCTAGGATAAATTAATTTAAACTGTTGAGTAAACCCACAGTTTCCTAATCTTTAATCTTTTATGAATGTGATTGTAAGTAAATTCATTACTGACAATAAAATTATTGATGAACGCATCAAAACCTCGCGGGAAATTTGCAGTCTAAAGGAAACAGCTGACTGTCAAGTTTACTTTACACGCCATGTCAGGGCAATTACAAACAAAAGAAATCCCATTGAACTCGTTTCGAAAAAACCACTGTTTTACAACATTGCTGACGTTTTTCTGTTACAGAAGTGCAAACTGTGACTAAAGGTGAGAGAAAATGATGTATTGAAATAGGCCTGTATGCCATAAAATAGAGCTTGACTAATTAGGTTACGAAAAATGTTATCCGCGTTTCCACATACTTTTGGTTTTCAAAGTCAAAGTGAATATTTTATTACTGGAAATACTTAAAAGCGGTGGCTTTTCTTGTCCCACTACTAGATCGAATTAGGAATCATAGGGAATTAAGAAATGTCAAATTTTCACAGTTTCATTCACTGGTACAGATGTTGAAATTTAACACGACAAAATTTCATTTATTTTTTGGCTTGCAAGAGTCCATCGTAGGCGCAGAAGCAACGTGAAGTGATATGAAATTCCAAGTACTGTTGACTCCGAGAGTAGACTGATGACGTCGGCATTCTAGCTGAGAGTGTGGGAGCAATAATTTGAATGAGTACCCCCTGAGGTGAGTTTTGGTCGACAAGGTGAACAGTTAACGACATGGGTGATCAGGGTTCTGCATTATTTCATATACCACTATCAAGTTCCCTTCGAATTCGGCGATACTGTGTGGAGTACAGTTGCAGCTATTCCAGTCTTTTCACATAAGTCTTGGAATACAGTCCCTTGACCATTCTGGTGGCCATCCTTTGTGAACATTCCAGAATCTTACGATCGCGTTGCGGCTATGGCTTCCACGCTTGAATTGCATACTACATGTGGGGGCGAATTTAGGCTGATAACAACTGTGGGAACTGCATTGTTTCAACTTTGCCAAACACTCGTTTTAGCAAATCATCTTGTCTTACGGCGATGGACGACGCCCCGGAGCAGTTTAAAGAAAAGATTAGGTCGTTCTGAACAATGACACGAGATACTTCTCATTCGAGGCATACGGAACTTGTTGATTTCCCAGGGAGTACGGAAACCGAGTTTTGTGGCGAAGGGATACGGCCGTGCATGTTGATGCATTAAATTCCATGTCGTTCTCGATCAATCAATGATAAGCAGCATTAAGTGTTCTCTGAAGTGGCAGCGAATCCTTTGGTTTTGTCACTGCTTTCTACATTTTTCCAGGTTGATAAGGGTCTATGCATGGATGTTGTATACCCCTGAAAATGAATTCCTTTTCTTTCCTTTCCTTTTCAATGTTATGATTTCTGGGGGGGGGTCAGTTTTGGTTAGCGTTG